CCACTAGCAATGGAGGACCGGATGAAGTGCCTGAAAATGGATGTTTTTCGTGCAGAGATCCAGAAAAGCAGATCAATGATCAATGCCCTTTTTTCTGCACTTCTCTCACAAACACATCCAGATTCAGGCGTTAAAAAAAAATCCAATCCTCGCTGCTAGTTGGGCCGACCTTCCTCCTCATGCCGCAATGAAGTCGGACTCTGTGTCCTTCATTAAACCCCACCGGTTCATGCGAGCCAAAGTTGTGCCCTTGCCGGTGTTCACGGTAAAAAGACCCTTCGCCTTCGGGCCTGGGCTGGAAGCAAAAGTATCAGGCCACTGTGAAAAGGCTCGGTTGCAGGCGCACAAGGCTTGGAAGGCAGCTTCGTCACCACCAGTACCCCAGGGGGTCTTAGGCCCCCTCTGGGGAGGCTCTGACCCAATTGCATATGGATCCGCGCGGCTCACCGATTCGGCCACCGCGTTGACGGCCTAAAAACGTGGAGGGGGTGCTGGTGGTCTAACCACCAGCTTTCTGGCCCGGAAGAAGTCCACTGTCAAGCAAATGTGGAGAACACAATCTCTCTCTCCAAAGAGTGGTACCCTTCCCCACTGGACCTCTACCGGGCCTGGAAACTGTAGATTCTGGCCCGGTACTCGATGACAAGAAAAGTGAGTAGTGCAGGGGCCCTTGGAGGGGTGGTTTAAAGTTTAAACCACAAGTGCATTCCAGCCCCCTTTTTGCCGCGGCGGATTCTTCCAGGTAGCCAACGTTTTTTCCTCCTCCCTCTCCCCCCCCTCCCTCCCCTCTTAAAGTACAGTGTAGATTCTGGCCCTGTACTCGATGGCAAGAAAAGTGAGCAGTGCAGGGGCCGTTGGAGGGGTGGTTTAAAGTTTAAACTTGAAACCACAAGTGCATTCCAGCCCCCTTTTTGCCGCGGCGGATTCTTCCAGGTAGCCAACGTTTTTCCCCCCCCCCCCCCCCCCCCCCCCCCCCCTCTTAAACAACAAGTACGGCCCAAGGTAAACTGCACGCCAAGCTTTGTGGAACTGCCAGCAGCGCATTTCTTTTTTTTTTTTCTGTCATGATGATCCGGTAGCCCCAAGCCCCCGAAATTTTCGAATTGGCTCGATTTCGATTCCCAAGTTTACCTGGGTGGTGTACTGGCGGACTTTTTTTTTTTTTTTTTTTTGGCCGTTTTGAGTTGGAAAAAAGTAGAAAAGCGTTCAAAAGTTCAGAACTTCAAAAGACAAGAAAAACGAAAGCGGTTCTGCTCTCTGCTTTCTTTTTCAACCGTCTTAAGACTCTTAACAGGACCTCTGTTTCAGTTTATATTTCCCAGGGTCCGAACTCGTGACCTAGGCCATAACAGGCTGATGCCTTTACCACTGCAACTGTCACACGGTACCTCTGGCGTTTGAAATCCTGTTGCAACCAACTGCTATTCAGTGTTTTCTCTATTTGACTTCCATGTTCTTCTCTCTTTTTTTTTCTTTTTTTTTGTGTGTGTGTGTGATTGTGTGTGTGTTTCTTCCAATTTTCCTGTCATCTAGGTAGGTTTTTTTTTTTTTTTTTTTTTTTTTTTTTTTTT